CACCCGAGGTCAAGAGGGCTTGAGGTGCAAAAATATGGCATTCCTGAATGTCCGTTGGGGGCTGTTCCCGGCTGCTTGTGTTCCAAACCTAGGAGTTGAACGGAGTCTGTCTGGCAGCCAAGGCAAGAGCGAGAGGGTGCTCTCCTGCCGGAGCCAAGGCCAGGCCGTCTTCCGTGAGGCTCTGCGGCCCAGCTCCGCCTCTGAGCAAATGACACGCCCAGGAAGGGTTCTGTGTCCGTCCCAGACTAAAGGGAATCTCTGGGTCTCTCTCTATTTTTTTAATTATAAATTTTTTATTCTTTTAAAAAAATTTTTTGTCTTAGTCCCTGTAGGGACCTCAAAAATTGCCAACGCTGATTATATTGCAAGTTGTCACATCCGGGTATTGGGAAAAGTTTTCAGGTAGCAGTAATTGCACCTGGGATGAAGCTCGCTGGCAATGGTACTGCCACTGTGCAGAGCTGCGTCTCTAGTCTTTGTTCTAAAACTGTTGAAAGAAAGTAGTGGCTGTCATTCTGCTAACTTCTGTCACTGAACTGCTGTGTGGCCCAGAGAAGTAAAGTCATTTCTTGCTGGTCGGATGGTGCATGGTCGCTGGCAGTTCTGAGGGCACGCTCATATTTTAAAAGAGAAACATTTGTTTTTCAAAACACCAGGTGTCCTGACATCTGTGGGTGCCAGAGCGGTGTGCCTCCACCCCTCTTCTTCCTCAGCTAGGGCCTGACCAGGCAGGGGAGGGGCTCCAGCCGGAGGGGGCCGGGCCTCTCTGCTCTTCCCTGGGGCTTCACACACGCCACTTCCCAGATAAACCTCCGCCTCACAGGAGCCGGCTGGCTAATTTGAGCTCCTGCTAATACAGGACAGTGGCTCACTCAGGGTTTGCCTGGTCTCTGTGCCCCAGAGGGAAAGGCCTGTTGTGTAGAACAGCTGTCATGGTGAGCTCCTGTCACCTGGGGCCATCGTTAAATGGGCATGACACCTGTTCCACCCCTGGGAAGGCACCCTGGCTCCTGCCCCAGAAACCTCCTCAGGGCTGTGAGGCCTTCTCCTTTCCCTGCATCGCATGGGGCTGGGCTTTGGCTCTGGATACTGGGGGGGCCACTTGAGGCCCTCCGAGGCCCCTGGGCTCTCCTCATCTTCATGCTCCCGAAGGGCCACACCATCCACGGGAAGCCTAGCCCCTTCTTGGCCCCCTGAGTGCCAGGCACTGGGCTGGCCCAGGCGGCCTCTGGCGGGAGCAGGGGAGAGAGGGGTGATGTGGGGGAACTGGGGAGGCGTTTCCTGTGGAGGGCTCACCTGCCCTGCGCCCCAGAGACCCTGCACCTCCATCACCTTCTAGGATAGCTCTCTGGGGCCAGCCTCAGCCTCGGACATCTCAGAGCTCCACCTGTCCGGTTCTGAATCACCACATTGACTGTCCCCTTCCCTCCCTGCCCTCTCCACCTCCAACTGTTGCCCATTCTCTGCCTCCCTTCAGAGCAGTCACAATATTCTCTGCCGCTTCCATTGTCCCGTTTGAGGTGTGGGGTGCTCCTGAGGGTGGGGCAATGCAGGGCCCCTGCCTGCCCCTCTCCAGGTGGATGCAGGCCCCTCACTCCCAGGGGCTTGCTTTTGAGCCAAACCCAGACTCCCCCATCCTCTGCGCAGTGCAGCGCAGCCTGGACGTGAGGCAGTTGCTCCTCCTCCTTGGAGCTCTTTCCTTCCCAGCTTCTGTGGCATCTCCCCCCTCCTGCTCTTCCTCACTGCCCACTGCCCTGCTCAGTCTCCCGTGCTCCCCCCACCTTTCACTCTTGGAGGGCACAGACACCTTTAGGGGTATTATTGAGCCCCAGGGTTGAAATTCTCTCTGCACCAAACCTTCCACGGCTATGCTAGAGAGTGGCTCTCCTCTGAGTGCAGGTTCACGGAGGCCGCCACCGTCTCCCCTGGGTGCCCACAGGCCTCTGCCACGAGGTCCTAAATGCAACGTCATCCCGCGACAACCTGCCAGGGCTGCCCCATTGTGGCCAACATCCAGGAAAGCAAGGGCACCTTTGAGTCATCTTGACCCCCACGCCTGCCATGCTCCCGCCCATCACACTCACACCTGTCACACACACACCTGCCACACAATGGCCACACTGGCACCAGCCTCACTCACATGTCCAAATTCTCAGCAGATTCTGTTGGTTGCAAAACAGACCCTGTATCTGACCCTTCTTGCCATCCCTGCTGTCCCTCCAGGCCCTCCTGGATGCTCACGGTGCCTCTGATCAGACTTTCCCTGCATCCACTCACAGCACCCAGGGAAACCTTCCCAATGACGCTTCGATATGAAAAATTTCAAGCACTCATCCAAGTGGAATACTTAAGATACCCATGACTTGAGATGCTCCCATTAATATCATAGAGGACTCGCTTTGCCACCTCTCTTCATCTGCCTATCCCTTTACCCACCATCTTGAGGTTTTGCTTTGTTTTGTTTTGCTTTGAGATAGAGTCTTGCTTTGTCACCCAGGCTGGAGTGCAGTGGTGTCATCATAGCTCACTGCAGCCTCAAACTCCTGGGCTCAAGTAATCCTCCTACCTCAGCCTCTGGAGTAGCTCGGACGACAGGGGCATGTCACTGTGCCCAGTTCATCTTGATTTCAAAATGTATTTCAAAGTAAGTTACAGATATTAGCACCTTTCTACCTAAACCCTTCAGCATGCACACCATTAATCAGAGTTCAATATTGTTTACAGCTTTTATTCTTTTGAGGTAAAATTTACATACAATGAAATGCACAGATCTTAACCATATATTCCGTGAGTTTTGACAAACACCAAAATGCTTATGTGACCTAAACCCCCTGAAGACATTGACCATTGTCCCAGGAAGCTCCCACAGGCCCCTTCCCAGTCAATCCCTGTCCCCACCCCACCCTAAGGCAGTCCCCATTCTGAATTTTTCCACCATTGACTAATCTCACCTATTCTATTCTAGAACTTGCTACAGATGGAGCAGGTGCTGCTTTTTCATCCAGAGTTATGTTTTGGGTTTCACTCTTGTTGCCAGAGTGTTATGTCTGCCCTTGCTCAGATCTCCCTCACCCTTCCAAGGGTGGGATCTAAAGTCCTTGGTGGCCCTGGTGCCCTGCCACCTGGAGGCCCCTCTCCCTTATTCCCCACACCCCACCCCCATTTTCCGCATGTGCTGGCCTTCTTTCCGACCTTGAGTACCCCAAGCTCACTTCCAACTCAGGGCTGCTGCGCTTGCCGCTCCTTCTGCCGGATGCTTTTCCTGCAGGTGGCTGTAGGGCTGGCTCTTTTCCTCACCCAGGTTTTATAGCTCAAATGTCACCTGCTCAGAGACCTTCCTCGCCTCTCCACTCCGCACCAGCTCCTTCCCCTGCTGTCCTTTTCTCTGCAGCACTGACCCCTGTCTAAAATCAAGTTTGAGTATTTATTTGTTTGTTTTTCATCCATCCTTTATACCCTGCTGAACTCCAAGAGAGCCTGATCCCTGTCTTCTCACTCCCCACTGCACCACCAGTCCCTGAGTGGCATAAATACTCTTGAATGAATGAGCACAGGAATGTCTGGATGACCCACGGCCCGGCACTTGCAGCCTCTGCATCTCTCTGAGCAGGGCCCACAGCCCCCACCAGCTCTCACGCGTTTGGCCCCGCCGGGAGGAGGCCAGCTGGGTGGCTGAATGAGCTGCGAGGGTCCTGGTTTGGCCACAGGCAGATCTGTGTGTGCTCAGCAATCATAGGAAGGGAGGATTTCAGGCAGAAATGGGGTCCCCAGAAGGAGATAGTGGGGGCCTCTGGTGTCTTGCCCTGTTCTTTTCATCCTCTTTAGTTCCGCAAGACCCCCGCGCTCGGCTAACCATCTGGCAGTGGACTTCTTACCCCGCCCAGCACGCGTGCGCCTCTGCATCAGCGATCGCGAACGCTTTTCTCCCTCTAGGCCAGATGAACCAAGAAATCATCCATACTTGTGCTTACTCGACCACCACACTACACTCAAACGGAATCAGCAAAGACACAATTGCAAAAAGAAATAACAACTGCAAACTACACTCATTTCAAGATGTCAGACACTTGGGAACAGGTGTCTTTCCCAAGCTTATTTCTGCAGACAGAACTGCATGTCACTATCAATTCATCTTTCTGAATCACACTGAGTTTATTTGTGGGTTTCTACTTCTAACGGTCATTTCGAGATAGTCTTTTCCGGTTGCCGAGACGGGGTATTAATAATACCCGTTAACACACGGGGGCCAGCCCGCGCAGCGTGGTGTTGGCCGTTTCAGTCGCTCCACTGCGCAGTGGGGATGTCTGTCCTGTCTGTGAGGGTGTCTTGTTCTGTTTTAGTCTTCTCAGCATAGATCCCCTAAACGGTTTTATATCACTAGGGTATTTCACCGCCTCTTACTGCGGCTTGTTCAATAGCACTTCATTATAGTTAGTCCCTGGTTCTCCTCTGCAACATGGGCATTGGGTTTGTCATTTCGAAGGTGCTCTGCGCTTAGTTGGGGGCTGGCCCACACCCTTAGATGAAATGCGCATTTCCGGGGAGGGCGTGCGGGCATCCGAGTGTGAGCCCTGGTCCTAGGCCTCCTTGGGGCTGTCGCCGCGCACTGCCTTTGAGTGCAGGTGCCCAGGAATAAAGACAGCCGTGCTGGCCGGGCGGGGGGAACTCTGGCTCGCGAGGCCGGCGGGGAGGGGTCACAGCGTCGCCCGCAAGTGCTCCGGTCGCGGTCGCGTGGGGCAGGGGCCGCGGGGGTGGCGGCGCCGGGCGGCGTCCCGGGGCGGGAGGGATGCGCGCTCGCGGTTATTATAACTTCACTCCCTTTAAAAGGAAAACTATGCGGAGAATCCGGGAGGTGGCGAGCGGAGCCCGGCGGGAGGCCGCGCTGGGTGTCGCCGTGGCCGGCTGCGCGGCTGGTCGGTGGCCACCCCGTCCCCGCGCCCCTCCTCGCGGCCACCGCCCCGCCACCCCGTCCCCGCGCCCCTCCTCGCGGCCACCGCCCCGCCACCCCGTCCCCGCGCCCCATCTCGCGGGCCGGCCGCTCGGCCTTCTAGGCGTCTCCGTCGGCGCGGCGGCGGGAGTGCCCAGGCGACCCGGCGACGGCGCGGCCACCATGACGGGAAGGTAACGACCCCGCGCCCGGGCCGGGAGGGGCCGCGGGACCCCGGCCACGTGGCGGCCCCTGCCGAGCCCCGCGCCCCGCCCGACCCCGCGCTCGCCTCGGGCGTCAGACCTCCGGCGCCCGTGGGCGCGTCCCCAGCCCGCTGGTCTCCCCTCGCGGGCGCCCCGCAGGTGGAGGCCCGCCCGCCCCGCCGCCTGCCCTGCGCGACCGACGGCCCTGCCCGCACTAGCGGAAAGCCAGGGCCCGAGCAGGCAGGGCCGCCGCCCAAGGTCACGGCGACTAAAGGGCGAAGTTAAGCCCTTCCGTCGTCGCAGGCTTCCACCGGCTCCCCCAAGCCCCGCCGTGCAGTCCTGGGCGAGCCGTGGTGTCTGGACCGTTCTGTTTCCTCCTCTGCAAACCTGCGGTAGTAGAAATGTTTTAAAATGGTAAAGGGTGAGGGGGGCACGGCCAGAACTGCGCGCAAGAGCCAGCTGCGCAGGGGCGGCTTGGGGCGGGGACTCCCCCGGGCCTGGCCGCCTCCTCTCTCAGGCCTCTTGTTGCCATTTCGCAGATGAGATAACCGGAGGCCACAGAGGCTGAGTGACTCAGGAGGCTGGTCACATGTCCACCAGTGTCCAGCCAGTGTTGGCCTCTGCAGTCCGGTCTGCAGCATGGCTGGGTGCAAGGGTGACTCAGGCTGAGTGGGAGGGGCTGCTCCCGAAGGCCCATGGCCCCTTCCAGCCAAGTCCTGGCAGGAAGTTGCTCTTCTTCCCAGCCCTGTGACTTAGGGCTCCTGGGGAAGGAGGGAGCCCCACGTCCTTGGCTTTGCTGGGAAAGGGGCTTGGGGAGTGGAGGGCAGTGGCCAGGTCCCAAATCCCATGGAGGCACAAGGTGGTCACAGGCCTGCAGGGGTGTTGCCTCTCACTGCTGTTCAGGCTGTGGCCTGAGGTCTTCTCTGGGCAGCCGCAGGAGCCCATACTAGCATGTGAGATGCCACCTGGTGAGTCCTGCTGTTCAGATGCCCTTCAATTCCCACTCCCCAGTCCCTCTTCCCAAGGCCAGTTCCTGGACTTGGAGACACCCCCAAACCTTGGCCAGGGTCCCTCTGTACAGTGAGATGGGGGGATGCATCCCCAGGAGAGTGGCAGCTGTGGGCCCACAGACAGCCTGTGGTCACCCCCCCACCCCGCTGGGGGTCTGCCTCCCTTCCCCACAGGGCTCCCCTCCCAACTTCCCGGCCTCAGTTTTCTAGGAAAAGAAAGAAGAGAAAGAAATGAGGGCAGAGTCGGGAGCAGCCACAGCAGCAGTGTTGAGGAGGGTGGGGTTCGTGGAGGTGGTTACTTGAGGCGCAGGCACGGACAGAAATAAGGCAGAGCTACTTCAGCTGGCCGCGGGTGGGCGTCGGAGGCCTGGCAGCACCTGTGTTCTCCCGCAGGGGTGGGCTCACCGGAGTCCCCTGGGCCTTCTCTGGAGATGGGCTGGTTGGGAAGGCAGGGGTGGGGGAGCAGGGCCACTTGGTTTCGCTGCTGCGTGGCCCTGGATCTGAGAAGTGCTGGTCACCAAACCACCAGGGACAACGGTTAGCCTTTGGAGAACACTGTCAGAGGTTTCCTGCTCGTCTTAGAGAATTAGGAAAAACCCAGAAACATAAAGATAACAGAAACATAAAAAGGAAGGAAAACCCACAATTCCGCTGCTCAGCGCCATCCTTTGTGAACATTTGGTGGCTTTCTGCAGTTCTTTCTTGGTGTGTGTGTGATGAGGCCGTGAGCAGTCTGTGAGTGCAGTTACAGCTGCAGCCTCCCTTGAACTGTACCTAGCGGCACGCGTGGCCCTGCCATGGCCCTGTGCACCACACAGGGAGCCCGGGCCAGGTTGGTGGCCAGGAGCGGGCACCCGACCTGGCCTTTAGAGCAGGTGAGGTTTTTCCTGTCCCAGAAGCTATGAAGTTTCGTTTTCACTGTTCCATGCCAGGAGGCCTGCTCCATGTCCACTCTCCTCGAAGGACGTCAGGCAGTTCCACATGCCTGGCGCCTGGCTCTCCCCACATCCCACCACCCCCTTACTGCCTGGAGCCAGGCTGCCCTTGGGAAGCACCCCCTCTGCTCTCGCCTTCAGGGGCTCTCCCTGCTAGTTCTCCCCAGGACCCCAGCAGGCAAGAGCAGAGGGAGGGCAGTGGGAGCCACCGAAGTGACCTGGAGTGCATGCGTGGCCGTGCGCTTTGCAGACGCGCTGTGGGTGCCATGTAGGGAAAGGGGCTGCTGAGGGGCAGAAGGGGAGGCAGGCTCAGGGTCGATGGCTGTGGGGTGGGTCCCGGAGGGCAGAGCACAGAGGAAGCCCTGATTGTGGTGGCCGGCTGGAAGTGGGCTGCACCCTCGGTCTGGGTGTGAAGGTGTGAAGAGTTGTGGCAAGTCTAAGGGGACACCTGGGAGGCAGCTGGATGTGAGGGGCTGAAGCCCAGGCGAGGGCTGAGCTGGGCAGAAGAGCGGGTGTGGCCTAGAGCGTGGTGCGGTCGCTCATGGATGGACAGGGCATGCCCTCCGAAGACAGGGGCTCAGCCCCAGCCTGCAACCCAGGGACTTTGGAAGTTCAAACCCCAGGATCTTTGACTGTCGCAGCAGAAGGGACATTTGGCATTACCTTTGTTCTACAGGGATGCTATTAAGGCCACCTACGTGGGGACTCAGCTATCCCTGGCACTCCTGGAAATTGAGCCTGGGTGTTGGTGCTGCTCATTTCAAGCTAGCAACATGGCAGTCACAGTCCGCAGAGTTCCTGGACGTCTAACAGTCAGCACCTGTGCGCCGGCAGGATGGCCCGGCACCGCCGTGGGAGGGCTCCCGGGTTCCTGCGCGCAGTGGCTGTCCTGCTTCTCTCTGTGACTCTGTCTGCGCTGACCCATCCTTGACCCTTCCTGAGGTCCTCCTCTCCGTGTGGGGGAGGGGCAAAGGGAGACGTGAAGCTGCCATTCTGTTTAGGCGTAGCGTTTCAGTTGCTGAAGCTAAACGTTCACTTGAGGTGACTTACTTAATGGGTGCCTTAGTGAGACTTGCGTGAGATGAATTCAGTCACCTTGCTGACATGAGATGACTGAATGTATGTAAGTAAAACCAGCCATATGTCCTTACCCATGGTTGAGGGTCATAAAAATATGACCGTACTTTTACTGTAACAATGTTTTAGTTTTAAACTAAGAAAGTAAAATTGCCGGATGCAGTAGTGTGCACCTGTAGTCCCAGCTACTCGGGAGGCTGAGGTGGGAGGATCGCTTGAGCCCGGGAGTTCTGGGCTGTAGTGTGCTCTGCCGATCAGGTGTCCGCAGTAAGTTTGCCATCACTGTGGGGATGTCCCGGGACTGGGGGATCACCAGGTTGCCTAAGGAAGGGTGAACCAGCCCAGGTCGGAAACGGAGCAGGTCAAAACTCCTGTGCTGATCATAGTGGGATCGTGCCTGTGAATAGCCACTGCACTCCAGCCTGGGCAACATAGTGAGACCTTGACTCTAAAAAAGAAAGAAAGAAAGAAAGTAAAATCATTCAAAGTCAAATTCCCTGTGGGGTTGGAATTTGTCATTCATCATGCAAAGGGGACGAGTTGTGCTCAGGCTCCCGGGAGGTGTCAGGGGGAGCACTGGGTCTGCAGGACAGCCTGTGGTGGTGTCTCTGTCTCTGCTGCTGGGCTGATGGGATGCTCCCTGGGGCCCAGGGTGGCAGCCCCACGAGCAGCTGGCTGGCAGCAGCCCTGGCCTCAGTCCCTGCCTCTAGGAAGCTATATAATTGCTTTCTTCGTTATTTGTGTGTTTTTTTAATTTGAGAAATAATTCACATATTATAAAATTCATCTTTTTAGAGTATACAGTGGCTTTTAGTACATTCACCAGATTGTGCAACCATCACCACTAATTCTGGAACATTTTAATCATCTCTAAAAGAAGCCTTGTACCCCTCTGTAGTCAGTGTCCACTCCTCCCTCCTCCCAGCCCCTGGCAGCCACGAACCTGTCTACACATTTGTCTGTTCTGAACATTCGTATAAATGGAACCATACATCACGTGGCCTTTAGTGCCTGGCTTCTTTCATTTAGCAGAATATTGAGTTTCATCCATGTTGTAGCATGAGTCAGTACTCATTCTTTTCTCCTTTTTTTGGGTAGTCAGTTTTTGCTAGTCAAGTGAAAGCAGTGGGAATAGAGAAGGAACAAAGAAATCTGTAACTGGTTGTGATCCATTAGTTGTAACACCATTGTACTTGGACCAGCCATTATTTCTTTAACATCCCATTGTATGGATGTACCATATTTTGTTTATCCATTCATTTGTGGTAGACATTTGAATTGTTTCTACTTTTTGGCTATTATGAATGATGCTGCTATGATGCTTGCTACACAAGTTTTTGTGTGAACGTATTTTTTCTCCTTTGTTGAGCACATACCTAGGACTGGAATTGCTGGATTATATGGTAACTCTATGTTAGACTTTTTGAGGAATTGCCAAGTTGTTTTCCAAATATTATAATTGAACAATTTTACATTTATATTTATTAGTGGTATATATTCCATTACTGGTGTATATTCCATTGGAATGTATGAAGGTTCCAATTTTTCAGCATCCTTACTAACACTTGTTATTATCTGGGTGTGAAGTGGTGTCATATTGTGGTTTTGATTTTCTTTTCCCTGATGACTGTTTGGCATGTTTTTATGTCTCTGTTGGCTACTTGTATATCTTCTTTGGAGAAATAGCTATTCAAATCCTTTGCCCATTTTTTAGTTGGGCTGTCTTTTTATTGTTGAACTCTAAGAATTCTTTATATATTTGGATATTAGACACATCAGATATATGAGTTGTAAATATTTTCTCCTTTTCTATGGATTTTTTTCACTTTCTTGATTAAAACTTTTTTTTTTTTTAAGTCAGAGTCTCACTCTGTTGCCCCGGCTAGAGTGCCGTGGCATCAGCCTAGCTCACAGCAACCTCAAACTCCTGGGCTCAAGCAATCCTTCTGTCTCAGCCTCCCGAGTAGCT